ATCCTCACTCCTCTCTCCAGCTGCAATTGCCGTGTGCCATTTTTTTCCCCTTCTTAACGCTGTTCCCCCAGAGGCGCTGCCACCATCGCTGATGGGCTCGGCCTTGGCCAGCGACGGGGCCATCTCAGAGCCGGCTGGCACTGGCTCTGTCAGACATGGGGGAAGCTTCTGGCAGCTTCTCACAGAAGCCACCCCTGCATCCACCCCACTGCCAAACCCTTGCCACGCAAACCCAATACAATTATAATCAAGCAATAGTTAAGAAACAGTTAAGAATTAAGAATTTGCGTTACATTATACCACGTTTTATAATTATTCACCTTGTATCCAACAGGAAGATCCTGACAATCTTGAGAACAGCCGCTAACTTTCTTACTGAGGCATTCATTAACGTGGCAGCTTTTCTCATCAGATCCATCACTACAGTCTTCTCTGTTATCACAAACATCACTTTGAGGAATACACTTGCCATTTTTGCACATAAAGAAAGAGCTGTTACATGACTGCTCTGGAAAACAAAACAAAACAAAAAGACAACTTTGTGTAGTTGTATGGGATCACCCAACCAAACCGGTTTTGGAGCACAAAGGCGGGACACAGGGAGTTGTGATTCCACTCAGCTTCTCAGCTTCGTCTCACCTTGACAGGTCCTCATCTGTGCAGAGGTGACTCGGGGCAGCTGCGGGAACGGCTCAGCCCGGGCTTGCCTGAACACTGCACCATGGTAAGAACCAAAACCCAAATGGGGCCTTGAATCAACCCTTAACAAACAAAATGCCCCGAGTACTGTTCCACCGCTACTCAGTAACTTTGTGTGCTACATATCACAAAATTAGCAATACAGACTCAGGGGCCATCACACCCTAGAGAGAAACATTCCAGACAGTATAATCCACTCAGGCTAATCCTGCCCCCACCCATCAAATCAGGAAATAAAAACGGTAAGGTTTGGGCAGAAAACTGGGGAGTCTTTTTCCAACGGTACAGCAAGCCTGCAGGAGATTCTTCCCCCCTTGTCCAGGACGCTGTACAAGGCAACCTCCCAGGCATTAAGAGGCCCTATCTGAGAGAGAGGGTGAGTGATTAAGATACATATATATGGTATCTGGCATGCTTTAAGATCACGATTAATGCACTCTTTTTAAGGTATTAATATCTAGCATGCTTTTGGTTTGTGTTAGTACATTCTGGAAAGCACTTGTAGGTTGTAATAGTGCATTCTATGAATTGTGTTAATTGCAATAGTGCATTCCTCCGTCATATCTATAAAAAACCTGCAATAGTGGCGTATTGGACCTGTGAGTGAAGTTCAAATAAATTGTTAATTTGAACCTTACAGCGAAGTCTTTTTTCACCGTCACAGCAGTCTATCAGTATTTGGAATGAACTTTCTCATGGACCAGCTGCAACGTGTGCATGTGAGATGAAAAATTGAATATTAATTTCTTATTGATAATATTATACAACCTTTCACATTTCAGTGTCTTCAAAGGTTTATTCCTCTGCTGGAAAATGTGTGAATACTTCAACTTATTATTCCCTCCTACACATTTTTTTTTCATTTAATTGAGAATCCTCTACATTATCTCTGCACAAAAGATAGTTCTATAGTTTGCAAAACTTAAAAAGCATGGTTGACTGAATCGTGACGCACTCCTTGCCTGAGCACATGCATACATGTTTTTTTTCCTGTTTGGCAAAACTTGAATATGTTGGCTCAGCTACATTCAGGTTCTTTAAATCAGAATTAGAACATTCATATTTAAAGCAGGTATGCTGCCTTACCTCAAAGAAAATGAGTGATTTCCATCAAAATGAGTATAAGGGACCAGGCTACTGTACAATAAAGTCATAAGATCTAGGCAGAAGAACTGGTCTTTCAAAAAGCCACAGAATAGGTCATGATATGCACATGAGGATTCATTTTCCACTCAAAAACCAGACTTATGTCTTGGCAAACTTGTGTCAGTAGAAAATACCAATAAAACTAATCACATCTGGTCAGTAATTTGCTAGTAAAAATAGACTAGTGTTTAATATAGGAAGAATAACCTAACACCCCCTTTTGTATGATCTACTTCTGTGTGATGAGTATATTAAATATACTGAACATTTTCAGGGCAAGCTATAAACTTTGACAATAATTACATTAATATAATCTTATTTTAGTACTAACAGAATGTATGCATTAATGAACTAGCAGCCATCTTATGCCATAGGAACTGATGGCTTGAACTTTGTGAGCTGAAGTTTTGGATGCTGAGGACTGTCAACACATTCTCCTTGCAAGACATAAGGAATACCTCCATGAAAGCATTGGAGATACAAGCCATGAGATTTTCATTTGCCTATCTATAATCCTCATCCATTTCTTTCCAGAAAGAAAGGTCACACATGTTATTAAAAAAAAATTAAATACAAACCTGAACTTTTGCATTTTATATTTATAGGTCCTTCATCAGAATGGTCTGGGCAGTCAAAATCACCATCACATTGCCACTGGGAATTTAACAGGCATCTTCCATCAGCACAAGTGAACTCTCCAGGACGACAGTGACGATACCCTAGCAATACAGTAATCAATGACTTCATACTTTGCTTCATACTTGGACATGCAATTTTGCATATACAAGGCAATGTAAGTATAAGTATCTTTTGTTCTGTAAAGAGATACAAAGCTTTATATGCTTATACAGGAGCATCTACCAACAAAGAGAGAGTCTTTTATGCAGCACAGTATAGTAATGAAATAGTTTGCACATACGTAAAATGTATTTATCCAGTTCTCAATCATAAATACATTGTCTTTTATGTGTTAAAAAAAAATTAACTTTTTGCTATTATTAGGAAATCTCTAACAGGCATTTAAAAGACTACATTCTAACAGACTACATTACAAAGTAGTAGAAAACTTCGAAAAGTCAGCACAAGTTTAATTTTTTCTAGTCATTGAAAAATTCCCAGAGGGAAAATAACCTTCTATTTGTAAGATACTTATGTTCCTGTTTGGGAAAGAGAAGTGTAACTTTTCCTGTATTCTATGTGTATAAATTCTGCCTCAGATAGTCTGTAGTCCTTTAAAAGAGCCCTGAAAGCAAGCCTTGATTTAGTTTAAAACTCAAGAAGACAATATTAAGTAAATATGGTTATAAAGTAAGAATTATGTAGCAACACTTGTTCTGATTACAGAGAATGATTTTGCAACTTAAAAAAAAATCTGCCAAATTATGTTTAACATTCTTTGTTCTAGAAAAAAATGCAGATTTTAAGCTCAAAAAATTTGATTCTTCCAAGAAGTATATCCAAATTACAGTAACTATTGAAGCTTTTATTTAACTACCGAAGCTGTGAACATCTGAAACAAGCACTGATAACGTCCTACTTTCCAGGAAGTTAGTATTTGTTCTTTTTGTCTAATTTCCTGCTATCTAGTACAGTTTTTTTCTGATAGCAGATGGAGACATAACATTTGATGAGATATGCATCTACATCAAGAGCTTTAAACCTCATATATATCTTTAGTTGTCACTTAGAAATATGTTAATGTACTATTTTCAAAATGCAGTACGTTATTACATCAATTACAAACATTACTTGGAATTCAAATAATTCTGTGGCCTCCTGAAGGTTGTTTTTTTCTCTTTTTTTAATACAGATCATGCTTGAAAGAGGACAGGTTGGTTTGTTACGGAAGAAAGGTGAAGCTTATTGGTTGTCTGGGACAGCTTTGAGTGCAGGTTTTTAGAGACCAACAGCTTTACCTAAAGTTTGAAGCATTTCATAAGCACGTGATCATCAGAGAGGTCATTACAAGTGTGCAGAACAAGGGGCTGCACTTAATAATGCCTCTGCTCTGGATGACAGGACAAAAAGACACTGGAAACTGAAACCAGAAAATCCTTCCTATTCATGTATTTGTCTTTTGATTAGCCACATAAACAAAGTCTTTCATCTTGATGAAATTTCATTTTCCTGAATAGAGGTCCTATTTTTTTTTTTTTTTTTTTTTTAATTTTCAGAAACATAAGAAATGCCTTGCAGGATGAGACAGTGGCTCATCTAGCTCAGTATTCTGTCTCTGACTGCAGCAACAGGAGATGCAATTTTGGGAGCATGTATTTTGTTCTCATGCTCTCCCCAGCTTGACTTACTGCTATTCTTTTTTTTTGCAAGTAAGTAATTATTAAAACTGCATTAAAAGGAAAGGATTATACAATGGAATCAAAACTTGTATCAAAGACATTTTTAAGGATTATAATGATTGTGAACTTTTAAAATCTGTTTAGATACAAATTCTGATACAAGCAAAAACTGGTTACTCCAATCACCAGTCCCATTTTTATATTATATCTGAATAATGCTCTTAAAAAAAAAAAAGAAAATATACCTTGCAATGATACAGATGGAAAAAGACAGATTTTTAAATGGATTCCCTTAGTTCATCTTTTTAGGAATATATTTCAAACTAAATTTCATCCCATTCAGCAGACTGGCTGCTGAAGAGTATCTTTTTTGGTTTTTGGGTATCAAGATACAAAGGTCTAGCTCTTCGAATCTAACAGAGCTGTGATAAGGCTACGTACTTTGCAGTCAAATCATAAATCTCATATTTAAAATCTTGGTGAATTAGGTGGTTTGTTTTTACATGCTGACAACACCTTGAAAAGTCTGTTTTGGAATTTGACTCCTACTCCCTACAAGTAGTTCCCTTTCTCATAAGAGAATGTAACCATTCCTAAAATTACGCTACAACAAGTTTACCACACTAGTCACACACTAAGGTGTGTATTTGATTACCAGATAACAGAAAATTGCATTGGAGCAGTGCAACACACAACAAATGTTGTTGTAGATTTCAGTTTACTCAGCAGAAATTAAATAAAGCCAGTGCCTGAAGGCAGGTCCATACTACAATTAGATTAGGAGTTTGTACATCCTCTGCTTCTGTTGCCGTTGCCTCCTTCTGCCTCTTTCCAAAAGTCTGTCAGACCATCACTATTTATTTGTCAGTATTTTAAGGGACCATGCATGTATATGAAAACAAATGAAATACATCAGTAAGAAATTATAAGCATGTTGAAAAAAAAGCAAAGTTTATGACTATTTAGTTCTAAATACTTATTTAGGAATTGAAGTAAAACCTGATCAGAAAGGTTCTCCTACTCTCCCTACCACCCAACTTGATCATACAGTGCTAAACAGAGGAACAAACCCATGAGTCACTTTCTGTGAAGGATTCTGGCACACATGAACTATTACTCTCGAGGAGACAGTTTACAGTTTGGTTACCGCGTGGCTCCGCCGCCCTCACGGCCTCCTTTAGGCAAAATGGCCCAGATAACCACAGCTCTTAAGATAGCAATGCCAGTATAACAGCGCGTGCTTCACACCCGGCAGGACGGGTACACCAAGTGGAGTTGCATACCTGACCTCATGGAGAGCTACAGCCCCCTGTGGATTACTGGGTATGTGGGTTTGTAATCCCATGCTTTGGCCCCAGTGCATGTAACTCTGCTGTGTGTGTGTCTGTGTGTTCAGAACTTCTTGGGATTAGTTATAAAAAGGTGTTTAAAAATGCATAAGCTATATCTACGTTTTGCAGGTGTGATTTACCCATTGCATTACTGCTATTCCTACCAAATGTACACTTCACTGATTTCCAATTAGATATCTGTCATTAACAAATCAGTCCTGCTTTGATCCCAATTTGGTTTAAACTACACAAACTAAGCAGTTTTTCCCTGCAAGTGCTTATTGTTGCAAACCGCTCCTTCCAAAACACCATGTGGTTTACATAAGTGAAACAGAGTCTGCTGGGAAAGGTGTGGTTACTCCCTTCTTTCTTCAAGGATCTGAAAGTCTACAGTGGCAAGCGGTGTGGCACAGTAAAGGAGGAGCAGTAGAATGAAACAGCTGGTAAGGAGAACCCAGTATCCACACTAGATGCATTTCAGGATTTTACTTCACACTAGTTCTCCTCTGCTGTTGTGGACTCATGCCTATTCTGGCTGAGGTATATTGGCCAGCTCAGCTTCAGAGGTTTTTTGTGTTTTTTTCCTATCCGTTCACTTGCTTCGACACTGCTCCGTGTGAGCCAAAACACAGCACGGGGGTGGGGGGGTGGGGTGAGTGGGAGATTTGCTTCAAAGGTGCTCTCCTGATCTGACCTATTTAATGGTGATGCAGCAGAGGAATGGCTGTTGCCTCTTAAGTACCAGCCTACTCCTGGTGAGCATAGGGAGAGAAAGGACAATTTGGTGACTGCCCATTTCATCACAGGAGCACATTTTTTCCATGTCACATACAGTTCCAGGTGATATTGATGAAATCTGTTCTTTACATGACTAGCAAACAAATAAATTCTTACTTGCTACATGACATTCTTT